CACCCCTATTGTACAGCAAGAAAGACAAGGATATCTCTATACACATTTGGACTGTTTGGTTAAACTTATTTCAAACAGCTTCTGATTCTAACAGTTTATTTTAACTCAAAAAAGCTGATTCTGAGAAGCTGCTCACCCCTTGCTTCTGATTATCAGCTTCTGCTGTGGACATGTTAATTTATGATTATACTCTTAAATTTTTTTATTTTTTATTTTTTTTAAAATAGAAAAAGACTCAAATGCACTATAGATTATTATTATTATTTTTTATGAGAAATGTAGACAAACAAAAAATAAAAATTAATTGAAAAAGCTATTTCACAGCTTATTTAACAAACACTACTCAGCAACTTAAATCTATAATCCAACAGCTACACCAAACAGATTAACAACTTCTGATTAAAGTCATAATGTATAATCTGTTAAGTTATAATCTATAAGCTGTTTTAACAGCTACACCAAACGGGGCCATTGTACATAATCACTCTAACATAGAATACCTCTTCTTCTTCTTCCCTTTTGTAAACAAATCCCCACTGTACATATCCACTATAATGTAAGAATTCAGTTCTTTTCAAATGCTAAAAAAATCTAATTACTATGAATTTCAATATAAAAATTCTATACATAATATTAAAACAAAGATTCAATATAAAGATTCAAATGCAAGTACTATTTTCAAATTGATTAAATTTCTCTTCAAACAATTTCACTCATGTTACAAAATATACCTTCGACTTCAAAATATTAAAACATTTCGAAATAAATAAATTCAAGTTTTTATTATAAGTCCAATATTTATTACAACTGATCATTTAAGTGCAAATAGATAATATTTGTAAATTATTTCCACAAATATTATATTCATCCATATTATCTACAGATAAAAAGATGCAAACATCATAAGTACATTACGAACTTGAAAAGAGATTTGTTAAGGAAAAAAAGGGGGGAGGGGGGGGGGAATATGTATAAAACATAATTATAATTTACCTATAATTTTCTGCTCAAAAAAAAAATTACCTATAATTTTAAAAATATTTACATCCAAACTGTAATGCGACCCGCGCGTGAAGGGCAACTAGTATTCAAAAAAATAACAAAAATCAAGAGTCTCGACTTTTTCTCTGGTGTGAGAAGAGATTTTAGGGTAATTTAAGAAAAAATATAGAATGCATTGAGGATAAATTATAATTTTAAATAATTTATTAGATAATATTAACTAATTAGGCATAATAAATAATATGTTGAGTGCCAATAGAATCACTCATATCTTTCCTAACCAGCCCAGCCCATCCCATCTACAATTAAAAATGGCCTAAAAATTGCATTAGCCCAAAAATTGCATTAGCCCTTTAAATGTAAAGCCTAAAAATTGCATAGCCCTTTAAATGTAAATTGCGTGTCTTATAAATCATGGGTGTGGATGGGTCAAGTCCATGTTGACCCTTATTTTATATTTAAATTTGAATTTATGTAAACAAATTATTTGTCTTGTAATTACATTTTAGATCACTTAACATTTAAATGCACCCTAAAAATAAGGTATAATTATAAGTAATATACTTTGTACTTAATGCTAAATAATGAATTTTTAACCGCTTCTGCTTATATACCATTTTTAGAATATTTTATAATTATCCCACTAATTCCATCACAACACCATGATAATCCACTATCACCACAACTGTTCCACTTCAACTGTTACCGTCACCTCCATTTTCTTATCATCGCTACCCAACTCTACTACTACCACCATATTGCCAATACAATGGCTCCGTTTGTTTTTAGAGGTAGAATGGAGAGGATTCATAGTGAAGAAATTAATAGTGAGGAGATTGTTAGTGAAGGTATTAAGTAAAATTGTGTTTGTTTTGATGATGGTTGTTGGTGTAGGGATTGTTAAATTATTTTTATATAAAATAAATATAAAAGAATAAAACAAATAAAAAAAATACAAAAACATTAATATTCAAAAAAAAATGCCCAACACGTAAAAAATAAAAAAATAATAAAAATTTTCTAGAAAAAAATAAAACAAATAAAACAATGTTTTTTACTTTACAAAAAATAAAAAAATTAAACATTAATGTTCAAAAAAAAATGCCCAACATGTAAAAAATAAAAATAAATAAAAAAATTCTAGTTCGGTGAATTATTTTTCTAATATCACATCCACCTCTTCCATCCCAATCCCCCTTCCAAGGTCTAACCTAATCCCCTCCACCTCAATCTTTTCCCCAAATCTACAAACAAACACGATACTAAATTGGTCTCACCTCCATCCTAATCTCATCCCTCCCCCTATATCCCAAAACAAACTGGGCCTATTACACTATTAGATGGCAATTATTATCATTTTTATCACAACCCTTATCATTACTCCCACTTTATCTTGTCATAACTATTATTATCATCGCCACTATCAATATTGATACTGGCCTATTTTGAAAACTTGACTAAAATTTAATTTTTTGACTTTTTAATTTTTTTTAAAGTCACATCACTTCTATATTTTTTTATATCTTTTTTCAAAAAAAATAAAATAATTTTTAACCTACTTTCCAAAACAAACCACTACCATAACATCCATATTACATCCAACCTACCATCACTCCTATTACCGTTGTTATCGTAATCGGCATCATTATCATTGACGCCACTATAATATTATCACACAGTCACCGTTACTAGTATCATTGCTACCATAATTACAATCACCACCAACACCATAACTACAATAAAAATTAACAAATTACAATCATAAGATCGAGATGCAAATAAAATTTAGGAAAAATTAGTCTAAGGTCCCTATCCCACTTTTAGTAATGGAAAAGATCCACAATATTATTTTATGATGTCTAAGGTCCCTCCACGTCACACCCATGTATTACAGAGAAATTTGGTATACCTCACGGCTTCAAACCTTCTCTCTTTCTCTCTCTCTCTCTCAAACTCACGCCTTACCTTTTCTCTCTCCTCGCTACTCTTCTTTCTCTCTCGTCGATCCAACTTGATCAATCCAAGAAACCCTATGTCAAGAACTCCTCGGCCACTCTTGCTTCAATTGAACCGTCGTATGAAGGTCTTCCACCGTGGCTCGGCGACGATTGGATTGCTAATTTTCTTTGAACCAAAATATAAATGTAATATAATGAACAATATAAGCTTTCAAGCCCAAGAAGTTGTAAACAAATCCTAAAGCTTTTGCCATAGATACATCAATGCGTGTTTAACTACCATGTTTCTGGAAGACAATAATCTTCCTATAAGAAACATTCTTCATGTTGCTTCCTATAATATATAATTCAAAGATAGTATATTTGTTGCTGACGTGATGCAGCCTAGTTGATGCAAGATTCACATCAAGTTCCTAGTGAAGTTAGATTTTTTTTTTATAGAGTCCTTTTCTTAATTACATTTCTTGTTTTCCCTTTTTTAGATATTTTTGGGTTAAATGATGGAATCTTCTCTCTCTTCATTTCCCTCTATAACTTCTTTCTATGTCCTCTTTCTTTCTATATTCTTTCTTCTCTGCTTCTATTGCTTCTCCACTTCTTGTCTACCCCTTCTGCTCTGGTTCTTCTTTTGTTTCTTCTATATCTCAATTTCTCTCTCAATATTTACTGTCATGTTTATTTGCACATCACACATTCGACAAAATTGTTCTGAACCACATTTTCAGATCTGGCATCCTTAACCACATTTTCCCAAGAAAAATGATTTCTAAGTGTTATTGGTAACAAATCCCAGTGAACCCTTCACAAAGATGACTGCATTTTTTTTTTTTTTTAGTCCAAAGAAATTTGAAAAATGTTCAAGGGTTTTTGATGTTAGTCTAGAAATCTAGAGAAATTTGATGTTAGTCCAAAGAAATTTGAATATTAGCCCAGAGAAATTAGTCTAGAGAAATTTGAATGTTCAAGGTCTTGAACCCAGTGAAATTCTAAAGATTGCTTTGTATGTTGAATTCATTATGAATATAGACATAAATATGGTAATTGGATCAAGTCTCTTTTTGTAGTATAAGAATAATGTTGGATCAAATCACTGAAGCCATCAAACTGTAGACAACGCAAACGAATTTCTTTGGTTGGAAGGGATTTTCTCTGGGGTTGAGTAAATTTCTCTAAGGTGGAGAGGGAAAGTTCTCTGGGTTAAATCCAGAAATATTCTCTGGTGAGATTTTCTTTGTGAATATGCATCCAAATCACTGAAGCCATCAAACTACAGACAACACAAGTGAATTTCTTTGGTTGGAGGGAATTTTCTCTGGCATTGAGTAAATTTCTCTGGGATGGAGAGGGAAATTTCTCTAGGTTGAATCCAGGGAAATTTCTCTAGGTTGAATCCAGAGAAATTCTCGGATGAGATTTTTCTCTGTGATATGTTCAAAGAAATTTGAAATTTTCTCTATAATGTGTCTAGAGAAATTTGAAATTTTCTCTGTGATTTGTTCAGAGAAATTCTCTTAATCGAATTTTCTCTAAATAGATATTGAGGGACCTTAGACATTATGAAAATTTTGAGTATCCTTTATGCTATAAAATTTTAATACCAGGGACCTTAAAAAAAATCTTCTAAAATTTATAGCATAAAGATAATTGACTTAATTAAGTGGGAACAAATAACCAACCTTCTGATAAAAAAAATAATAATAAAAATAAATAAATAAATAACCAACCTTTTCTCTAATCTCATGGTGCTCCACAAAACCCTTCCATAAACCCCAACCGTTTGGGCGGGAAGTCGAAAACATTAAAAATTTAATTTTTTTTTTTTTTTTTATTAGAGCCGTTGGATGACCAACGGCTGATCTGAGCCGTTGCCCGCATGAACTCAAGGACCCTCCTCAAGGAGAGGATCCGAACTCCTCCTCCACAAAACCCTTCCATAAACCATCCAAGAAATAAAAATAAATAAATATAAGTAAATAATAATTAAAAATGAAAAGAAAAAATGCAAACAAAACCCTAACATACACGGTCTGTAACGTAAATCCTCCGTATATAAACAAAAACTGCCTCCCCAGCAAGCCCTCACACTAGCTGAGCGCCACCACCACCCACATCCTTCTGGTGTTTACGAAACCATTTCCTGCTAAAACCCTAGCTCTCTCTCTCTTTCTCTATACAATCCATCCCTTGCAATTTCTGTGGTGAGTAATTTTTGTTTTGCTCTATTCAATTTGTCTATCATTTTCAATTTTGCGTTTGATTTGAGCTAGTTTTTCTGGGTTTTTTTTTTTAATTATAATTATTTTTAATCATCGGAGTCTTAGGTGTTTGTTAAGCTCGCATCGATGTCGGACGATGAAAGAGAAGAGAAGGAGTTGGATCTCTCCTCTCCTGAAGTTGTCACCAAATACAAGAGCGCTGCTGAGATCGTTAACAGTTATTCTCTCTCTCATAACTTTCTCTCTCTCTCTCTCTCTCTCTCTCTCTATATATATATATATATATGTGTGTGTGTGCGTGTATGTATCTATGATTCTGTGTTTCTATATACGTAGCTTAAAATTAACGCCTTTTGTTCGAGGACGAAAGGGAGACAAAAAAAAAAGGGAATTGAAATGTAGTTTTTGGTGGGTATTCATTAAATGTTGTGTTTGATTATGCATGTATGCATTGTTTTTTGATGACCCAGTTCTACAAATTTATGGAACAAATTGAAAATATGCAGAGGCTCTGCAATTAGTACTGTCAGAATGCAAACCAAAGGCTAAGATTGTTGATATTTGTGAGAAAGGCGATTCATTTATCAGAGAGTAAGTTATCTCTCTCTCTCTCTCTATATATATATATATATATGTAAATATGATTGTGTATATACATGGGTTTGAGTTTACATTTTAAATTTTAGGGTTCTTTTGATTCTAAATAGTTGCAAATATGTGTAATATACAGTCAATCTGGGAATATGTACAAGAATGTCAAGAAGAAGATTGAAAGAGGGGTTGCATTCCCCACTTGTGTTTCTGTGAACAACACTCTTTGTCATTTCTCTCCACTTGCCAGCGATGAGGCGGTGTTGGAAGAAGGTGATATGGTGAAGATGTAAGTTTTATTTGAGCACCATCTATCTATGTACCATGAGAGGAGCTAATGTTACAGTTTGTGAATAATGATGTACTTTTATGTTTGGATGCAGTGACATGGGCTGTCACATAGATGGTTTCATTGCTGTTGTAGCACACACCCATGTCCTTCAGGGAGGACCAGTGACTGGTAGCCAAGCTGATGTTATTGCCGCAGCAAATACTGCTGCAGAGGTTGCCTTGAGGCTTGTAAGGCCAGGAAGAAAGGTAAAAATATATTAGGCTTGCATTTTAATTGTCTTAACCTAATATGAATCATATGATACCATTTTGAGTTGTAATTGTTGAATGCTTAGAGTGAGTAATGGCTTCTGTTTCTTTTCTTTTTGTATCATAGACATTTGCCTTAATTTTTTTGGCCAACAATATCTACAACTTTGCAATAAAAAAAATAGATGACTGATTGTTTTGTGGATGGTGTTGGAAAAAATTATATGAAAGCTTTTTATTGTTTGTGGTTGTGCCTTGGTGTGACTTGTTATGCCAGCTCATAAATCCTTCTAGCTTCCCCTAAATGAGGAATATTCTGAATAAGCTATGGATTAACATCCAGATGAAGCTTTTGTCATAGTTACTCTGATAGGGGATATTGCTTTTATGCAAGTTAATAAATTCTTTAATGTCTTATTTTAATTTCTAAAAACATGTTGAATCTTCTTCACTATTTTTTTCCTTTGTAGAGCCACATGATCTGTATTGGGTGTACTTAGCATTCTCCTTGTATGTTGTCACAATACACAAATTTTATAGAATATTTTGAGATCAGATAAACTATCTAACTGCGCACACAATCTATGAAGAAGGCAACTTTGCCGAGGTGATCAATCCGTTGTTGATTCCCTCTTTTCCCTGTTGCCTATATTGTACTATGCCATACTTGGGATGCTGTGGGTTGATTTATTGCTGATGCTTACAATTCCTGGAGGCAAAAACTTATGTAGAGTTGTTCTAGAGCTTCAGGATTTAGCCTGGTCACTTCAATGGGTATGGCAATTACTCTTCTTTTTCACCAAGTTGTCTTATTTGGTTATATTGGGTCACATACTAACTGTATTGGATATGGTTTTGAATTTTACAAATGATGAAATTGAATTATATACTTCACCTGAGTTATGATTTATATTCATGAAGAAGATAGCCAAAGGCTATTGGTTTATCTCTGTATCGCTGAATCTCTTTCTTTATGGCAGAATAAAGATGTAACAGAAGCAATTCAGAAGGTTGCTGCTGCCTATGACTGCAAAATCGTCGAAGGTGTCCTTAGTCACCAGCTGAAGCAATTTGTGATTGATGGAAACAAAGTTGTATTGAGTGTCTCGAGTCCTGAGACTAGAGTTGATGATGCAGAGTTTGAGGAGAACGAAGTTTATGCAATTGATATAGTCACAAGCACAGGTGAAGGCAAGGTAATTATGCTTGCCATGTAGACCTACCTCGATATTATCTGTTTTTGTTTTTATTTCTGCTCATATTTTTGGTGTCAAATTTGCAGCCTAAGCTATTAGACGAGAAACAGACAACTATTTACAAAAGAGCTGTTGACAAGAACTATCATTTGAAGATGAAAACGTCGAGGTTCATATTCAGTGAGATAAGCCAGAAATTTCCTATCATGCCATTTACAGCAAGGTTTGTTACATTTTCACTTGTTTGGCCATTGGTCCTTTCTCCGCTGGCTTAATTCTATTGGCAAAATATATAAAATGACAGGGCTTTGGAAGAGAAGCGCGCTCGGTTGGGATTGGTAGAATGTGTCAATCATGATCTGTTGCAACCATATCCTGTTCTTCATGAGAAGCCTGGTAAGAAATTCTAAATCCTGCAAGGATTCAAACACTGCTATGTGTCAGTTGGCTTATCAATCGTGGAGTATCTATATTTTCTTCTGTCTGTTGAAAATTTTTGTTTGTTGTGCAGGTGATTATTGTGCCCATATTAAATTCACTGTTCTGCTAATGCCAAATGGGTCAGATCGCATTACCTCCCATTCTCTACAGGAGCTCCAACCTACTAAAACAATAGATGACCCTGAAATCAAAGCATGGTTAGCTTTGGGCACAAAAACAAAGAAGAAAGGTGGAGGGAAGAAGAAGAAAGGTATGCTAGCATTATATCCAGCAAAGACAGGTCATAAACTCTTGGAACTAACCCATTTAAGCATGCAAATCCAATTGTACTACTATAGTACTACTCACTTACATAAACCCTAATCTTTTGTGTTTGCAGGTAAGAAGGGTGACAAGGTTGAGGAATCAGCAGAAGCTGAGCCTCTGGATGTTACAACAAATGGAGCTGCTGTGTCGCAAGAATAAGAAAATTTAAATTTTGATTTGAATTTTCCTTTTTTCTTAATACAATTTTGGCTGCAACTTTGTATCAGTTTGCTTACTGAGTACATTCCAGTGGTCATTAGATGTTGAATCCTATTGGGTTTTCCTTAAATGTGTCTGTTGCATGTACATTGGGTTCACCTTCTTTTTGTATCCCTTTTTATGATGAATAGATAAAGTTTTATTGACAATCTTTCTAGAAATTGTTCGGAATGCATTGAATGATCCACACCGTTAGAATGGGCATCGAATGAGAGTCAAGAGCCTCTCCTTGCAGGGTCCTACTTGCGCCCGTCCTTGCAGGGCCTTCGGGCTTACTTTTAGGCCCACTTTTAATAATTCGAACCGTTCATATTTTATAATTTATTCAGTATATCATACTTGTAAAAAATTAAGTTGATCGGATATCAGAAAGTATGTGTTTGAAAAATTGAACTAAAAATTATTTTTTTAAAGAATTTAATAAACAGTTTTCCGAACATATACTTTTTGATATCCGATTAACTTGATTTTTTACAGGTATGATATACTGAATAAATCATAAAATATAAACGGTTCGGATTATCAAAATTAGGCCTAAAAGTAAGCCCGAAGGCCCTGCAAGGACGGGCGCAAGGAGAGGATCCTCATACTTCGAATGATCCACACCGTTAGAATGGATGCAGTATCGCAACATTCACCTGGTTTGGTTTTAATATTTTTGAAAATGAGTATGTTATTTTTTATATTTTTTTATTTTTAGTAAATATTTTTAATATATTTTTTATTTTTTTAGATAACTTAATTTTGATATATTTAAAAAATAAATATTTATAAAAAATATTTTTAAATATTAATAAATACATAAGAATATGAAAATGTATTGAATTTTTATTTTTTAAAAATATATTTTTGGTATTGAGTGAATTTTTAAAATATTTTTTTAATAATATTATATTTTTTAATTGTATTTATATTTTTTAATTGTTTAAAATATTTTAAAAAATTACTAAAAACAAAAAAAAAGGAAAAAAAAAATCAATTTTTAAAAAATTGAATTCAGAAAGAGCAATGTTACATCTATTTAAAATCTTACAATCATGCTAATAGTATCCATGTCTATCCAAATATCATTAGAGGTTTAAATATTATTTTTTTCACAACCAATCACATTTGGTCATTTATATTTTTAGTAAGATAGTGTGTAAAATTATTGGGCAAATTACAAACACCCCTTTCGAAGTTTGGTAAAAATACAGATTCCCCTTGAGGTTTGAGAAATTACAAATTGTCCCATGAGGGTCAAATTTTCATAACAAATTAGGAAAATTTAGAGAGGAATCTGTATGAAAATAAAAACCTCAGGGGACAATTTGTTATGAAAATATAAACCTCAAGGGGCGGGATGTAATTTCTCAAACCTCAGGAGAGAATCTATATTTTCACCAAACCTCGAGGGGGGTATTTGTAATTTGCCCAAAATTATTCATTCAAAAAGATTGGAGTCAAATTGTATTTTCACCTAACCTAGTGATTGTTTGGCATGTGCTACATTATTCTATTTAGGTCACAATTATTTTATTTGAGTCACATTACTTCTCTATCACATCACTTCAAACTCAATATATATTTCACGTTTTTTCGTAAAAAGTCAAAAAGTATACTAATCTAACACTTTTCAAAAATCTCTCACACTATGCAGACTTTAGGCACTATTTCGCATAAACTAAATAAATGCACTTATTTAAGTCACATCACCTCTTTAATTTTTTATACATTTTTTTCCTAAAAAATCAAAAAGTATACTTATTTAGATCATTCCAAACACCCCCTAAGCTATTGTAAGAACATCGCCAACAGTGAATCAAAAATTTCATCAAATTTGAATAAAACTTTGATGAAAATTTTGATTTGATACTACTAAAATTAGAATTTTTATCAAATTTTTTCACATCCCTAATTGTTCGGGAGGATATCCAGGTGGATGTCCTGGAGGTCATCTGAACATGAACAAAAAAGCTATCAAAATTGTTCTTGGTGGACATCTAGCCCAACGGTAAATTTAAATTTGATAAAAAATGAAAAGCTCCCTTCATTTGATGAAAGTTAAAATTTTGCCTCTATTTGAGATGATTTTGATAAAAGGGTTGAAACACCTCATTTGGCACTTTTCATCAAATCTGATGAAATATTTGATGCCTGAATTAAAGATGCTCTAAGAGCATCTTCAACGATTCACCATTTTTTCATCAAATCTGAGTAAAAAAAAAAAAAGAAAAAAGACAAGTTTCTCAATCTAATATGAACCACTCCAACCATTTACTCTAGCTTTCATCAAATCTAAGTGGACGTTCGGGGGACGACTGGCCGGTCAATCGGTAAGTGAAAATGAATTTTTTGAGTTTAATCCATATGTGCATATTGCTCAACCAAAACCAAGTTCTTGAACTATAAAAAGCCTAACTAGTTCAATCATTTTCTTTTCTCAGAATCTCTTTCTTTCTCTCTCTCTTTGAAATGGAAATGAAAGTGGAATCGCATACTCATTCCCTCCATGGTATCTAGCACTAGGATACCCCTCACTGTATTTGTTAGTCATGACTGACCCAACTGCTTGTAGTACCGACACTGATGTGAAATTCTCAAGTGGAATGAGTTCAAGTCCCTGCCCCTCCACAATTTATCAAATTTCCAATTGTAATTAATGTCAAAGGAGACCAAATTGCAAATTCATAAACTACACATCCATATCACATTTAGTCTGATATGCAAAAATTGAGTGAATATTGACCTTCCATTGCCTAGCTTTCTCAAGTTCAATAATGTCTGCAATTTTTGGATCTACCTCTTGGAGTGGGGCATTCAATTGACTTGTCCATTTTCAATGAAAATGAAAAAGAAAGAGATTGGATGAAAAATCGAATACAGTGATATGAAGCTTCTCTTTATCGTTGACTACTTCATTGGGCAAAGAAGACTGTATAAAAGAGATCAAACATAAACGATTAGAAAGAAAATGAAGAGAGAGTGAAAAATGAAATGAATATATGTGTGTGTATGTAGAGATATAGAGACCATATAATAGAGAGAAGCGCCATTAGAAAAACGGTGAAGAAGAGGGTTATTATTAATGGAAGAGCAGAGTTTGCGAAGTGCCATTGCCATTGCCATCTTCTCTCTCTCTCTCTCTCTTCCTTTTGCGCTCTCTCTCTCTCTCTCTCTCTATGCTGCTTTTCATTTTTAGAGTATTTCGGACGACTAGGGGGACAATTGGCTAGATGTTCGGCTAGTCATCACTTCCACAAACAGTAAAATGGTGAAATCTGCTCAGCTCCTCAGTTTGGTAAAAATTTTGGACTATTCTCATTTTAATATCATTTTGATGAAACTATTGAAAACAAAAAAGAGGCCTTTTTTCACCAAATTCAAATTTGGTGATGATTCTGGTGAACTATTAGAGATGGTCTATGACAGTTGTGATAAACTCAAAAAAAAAAAAAAAAAAAAAATTTGTGTCATAATATTTGAATACCATGTCTGACTATTACCAAGTGTTTTTAAGAAAAATATTTTGTCCCAAACTGTCCATTTTTACTATTGCAAAGCAGTTGTTATATAGTTTTTAAAAAAATGATGTCATAATATTTGAATATCATGTCTGATTATTACCAAGTGTTTTTAAGAAAAATATTCTGTCCCGACTTGTCCATTTTTTCTATTCTATCATCTTAAAGAATCGTTTATGTTTTATAATATATCATTTTTTCAACAATTTTGAAAACTTTAATCTAGACGACCTAATTGAGGTCTTTAATTTATGAAAAAAATGAATTTTTTTTATTATTTGAGGTAGTAACAATTTAAAGAGTAACGATAGTGCACTGTTTGTATATGATTCAAATACTATTTTAACGCGTGATTGACCAAAAAACTGGTGTCTCATTTCTTCACTTGATGCATGAACAAAAAGCACTCGCAAATCAAATCAACTTTGAGGTCCTTTAAACTATGGTCCAAACACACAAGATCCCCACTTCTCCATCTTTGATCATCACTCACAGTTAAAAGAAAAAGAAAAATAAAAATAAAATCAAAGGCAATAACAATAACAATAATCATTTCTTTGAATATAACTACATTTACTAGTGTTCCTCAGAAGCTTCACAAGAAAAAACACAAAATGCACAACCAAACTCTTTTTGGATTAAAAAAGCCTAGGGTCTTATAAATTCGTTTCTTTTTCCTCTCTTCAATGTAATATTTTCATCTTAGACACGATCAAACCTGTGCAAACTCAATGAAACCTGTGAACTCAACGTTCTGACCTTTATGTTTTGTGTACTGCAACAAGAAAGGATAGTTATATTTACAGTTTGGCGGTGTCGGCAGCATTTACAACTATTAATTGATGGATGAATGAAGAAGAAATTAAAAAACAAAACCAGCCAAGAAAATCAGGCCCAAACAATTGAAAAGAAAATCAATGAATTCAAAAAACACCGGGACACCAACTCAAAGAAACTTCAACATCACCTGAAAAACCAAATATTTCAGGTTAGATATACCAAGCAACAGCATGAGAGAGTAATCAGAAAAATTGCTACTCTAGCCTAATTTTTATATGTATAATAGACAACACAGTCGTAACTGTCATGCTAGGGAGGGAGGGGATAAAACAAGGGGGTCAACATTCATAACAAAAAGACATAAAATATAAGCATAGCTGGGTTTATTACTCAAAAATGAGTAGTGATTGGAGGTGTTTGAGCCTAAAAAAAAAATGAAGATCCTTGCAAAAATATATTTTCTCGTAGCTACAGCACAAGTGCGTGAATCCAAATTATCTTCTTCAATGTCTTTTTGTCGTTTTGAGAGAAGGCATACAAGATTTTCTTGGTTTGGTGCATTTGATCTAAGATAAACTTTTGCAACAATAAGACACAGTAACTATAGCTTGATGTATTACACAACACTGATTCATGATTGAAAGTATCGGGGCTTGAAAGAAAATAAAGTTCCTTGCAACAATATATCGAAGTAAAGATTAAGACACTAATGCTATGGTTTGTTCAGTGGAATGAAAGTGGAATGTAATAAAATGTCCATTCCTTAGCCTCTTACAATAGTGAATGATAATTCCATTTGTAATGCATTTTTCATCATTTTTTAGTAAACCAAATGTCAAAATAAACATTCTAATAGAATGACTATTCTATTCCATTTTCATACCAATGAACCAAACAATACCTAAAAGCGGTCATTACAAAGGACTGAAAAACTTACCCTACAACTCCTCGTTCTATGAAATGATTGGAAAATTGGAGAAAGTGCCTGACACCACCATAATCAGAAGATTCGAATACCACATCTAACCTATGGCATCCCCAATACCTGCTTTAATTGGGCGAATGCTGCAGGATGCATTCTACCAATGGCCAAATTAAAAGATTCTCCATGAAGAGCAGCACATGTTTGAAGATTGTCTCTCACTGAGTTCTCCAAAGACAACTGGTTTATAGGGTCTGAAAACTTGATCTAATGAGGAAAGGAACAAATCTATTAGAAAATATTCTGAAAGGCATCAATTCTCAAATTCAGGATATTCCAATGATGTTTACCTGTCTTTTCCTGAATTCTTTGCTAGGAACATTATGTCTGTTGGGGCTCATATTACCGCTACTGTCATTTAATAAACGGGAGATAATAGTTGTTAGTTCTACAGAAACGATTAATCTGACAAAGCATCGAAAATTTTGTACTATAACATCAGATCTAACCTGGATTCTTCCTCTGTGAAGTCTTCATTTCCACCCAATATTACACTTGTACATACACTATGACAAATCAAATCTGTTAGCTACAGAGGTCATCTGATACATACATTACGGATGGTGCATCAAATTAAAGTGCAAGATATACCTTAGGATTTGATCAAGTTTGTCCAGGACTTGAGGCAATCTTAATGTTAAAATTATAGAAAGGGCTAAACCAAATGCTTTTCTTTGGATAGAAGTTACATTATCAACCTGTGACCAAGCCAAAAAACAAGGGTTAACTCAAAAATGAAAAACAAAAAAACAAGAAGTTTGAAGCAGAAAATGCAACCAGATTTCAAAATACACTTTGCAATCTTCATCTTCACTTGCAACGGGCTACAGTTCAACATTGGGGTTTTGAGCAGATAAAATAGATAGTGACAAACATTTTGTTTTCGTGAAGAATAATTCACCCATTGATTATAACATAAATCACAGCAGTGTCTCAGGACATATACATACAAAAAGAACACTAAAGCAAATAGACAGGACAGAGCACTACTATTATGCTTCAAAAGTACCAGATGCATGTTCCACTGACCTTGTCAAGCCATATGTCAACCAGACAAAGAAGTATATTCTCATCAACCGGGAATCCCGCCTTCTGGAGGAGTAACAAAAGAGATTGTTCTGATGTTATTTGGGCAAGGAAATTGATATTCATTACCAAAATCCTTGCCAGGATGGCTGCTGAAGATGCTTTCACAGCCGTCTTTGAAGGATCATGGTCATCTCCTCCAGTCAAGCATATAACAATTAATTTCTAGCAATATCAAGCAAACAATCAAATTAAACCGCCACTGATATGCCATATTGAATAGTCATAAACAAAACCATCAAAAATGAAACAACCAAAGAACCTCAGTTACCTGAAGAGTGCTGCTAATCAATCGGGGCACATCCATAGGGAAACACTGTAAATAGCCCAAGCAAGGACATATTAAGTTTGTACAGAATAAATGAAGGAATGATGCTACATCCATAATTTAACCTCGAAAGTAACTAAAATTGCATTTGGATGTTTAAAAATTACAATGATTAGCTTAATGAATGAAGAAAAAGAAAAGAGATGCAATGATGTTATTCAGTTTATTATAGTATTCACCAGTTGCAAATGATGTTATTCAGTTCTTTATAGCATTCACCAGTTACAGAAATTATACTAACACTATAAACAATACTATTTTAAGATGCCTTTAGAACAATGATCTTCATGCACAACAATGGTACTAAATCTATGTATATTGAATGCATCCACAAAGACTTTCTTCCCATGGATATCCAAAATGTGCCTAAGTGAAATTTCAGCAGTTGTAACTGCAAGTCCAAAGACAATTACCTGAATTAGGATTTCAATGACTGGAAGAATTGAAAGCAACCCTCTATCGTTGACATTTCCAACAACCAGATCAAGAAGTTTAGCAACAGTAGAAGCATGCAAACTGAGAAAATCAGTTCCACCCAGAATTATGTAACCTTCAATGATATTTGCAGCAACCTATACTTCAATTTGTGTAATAGTCAGTATCAGAAAAAATGCAACAGTAAAAACGTGTAACAAAGCATAATACTACTGTAGACCTTCAAGTGATCAAAACTTCTTTCCAGGATTTCCAGAAGAGAAGGGAAATATCCCAATAGCTGAGGCACCATTGAGGGGGCTTGAGAAAGTGTGGCTTCCCATAACTGCATGACTATGTCACTAGCATTAGCACGGCATATCTAAGCTATGGAAGTGGCTATTCATAATATTTATTGAAAAAAAAAAAACAGAAAACAAAAAAGAGGAAAACAAAAAACTGAATTACTGACCAGCATGCTGTCTTCCAGAAGTTCATCTGGGCTATTCACATCAATCCCACATCGTAAAATAGGCAGTAGCATGTTGTAACAAATGGGTGACTGATAACCAAGGGCAGTCACAAAGTTCTTTAGTGCAGTTAATAGCTGAATCTGCAGAAGGCTTTCTCCAGGGGATTCCTCCCAGGCCTTGGATAAAAAGGTATTTAATCAGTGCAAAGCAAGACAAATTGGCAAAACAATAAATGATGTTTCATGTAATAATTGAACCAACTTGATGGTTCCCACTTGATGGAAAAGTTTCCAGTGGAATAAGCTGAATACATCTATTTCAGACCCAGTTAGAGCATTCAACACCTCTGCTAAGTAACTTGAAAAGCTTCCACGTTGACACCAAAACAAACTTTCATGATCTTAATTACTTCTCATCACTCTCCTAAATGAAATTTTTTTTTTTCTTTACTATCATTGTTGTGCAAATCACAATTAAATTCTACTGGCTTACAAATCTAAATCATTTTCATATTAATCATATTATCTTCTTGACTAGTTTGCCTCAGTTATTATCTAATGTATTGAGTTATCTAGCCAGGTCTTGGTATGCCTGGTTTTATGTTTTTTAACCTGTACAGTTCTTGCTGTGCAGGTTAAAAAGGCTTTGTCTTCAAAACTTCTTTGGTCCAGCCATGGGACTAGTTGTGCAAAGGTTGTTTAAAAGATAAGGCACTAAGTCACTGGGTCCCAACCACTGTTATATAACATTTTTAAGTTCTGGTCCATCTTCATATGAAGTCAAACTGAATTAAATCTTCTCACAGGAAGTCGAACTGGTTCCTTAATAATGCACTTGTTTCACACCCTAATTTCACAATTTAATTTACACCAAGATGCAATAAACCATATTGAAATATTCAAACAATACCTTCTGGAAAAATTGCACCAACTTGTCTGCGTAGGGAATGATTTCATCAACATGTGCGATAAGAATAGAAATTGAATTTAAAACTTGAACCTGAAAGTAAGAAGTACCAACAATGATTAATCAAACTTATCAAACAATAGAAAATCAGGTGTTGTTCAGTAAAAACCTACCACATATTTCAGTTAAAGCAAATTAATCATTCTAGATCTGATATAACATGAAACTGAACCGACACATACCAACATTGCATATCCTTAATAAATTTATCTCCAGCTTCATGGTTTGACTCCTAAGAAAAAAGAAAAAGGCAAAAGGGACAAGCTTTATGGTTCGACTCCTAAAAAGCACGGACACTTCTAAGAAGATAGCATGTCCATGTCAGACTCAAGTGGATAATTATAATTATTTTAAATCATATGCATCATTTGTAATATTGTACTATGTATAACAGCCTTTCCACCAAGTGACCAATACCACAATACAATTATCTGGAGAACAGAGTTATTAAGATACATTTAGCACAGAAAGCACATAAAAGGAGAAAATAATATCAATAAATTAATAATAAAAACATATCCAGCATTTAATGAAATGGGAGGTGGAACATTAGCAATCATTAACCTTTGAGTCAAACTCCTGGACTTCTTCCACTAATTTAAAACAAAAATCCCAACACACTGGAAGAAGATCAGAAAAATCTTTCTCTGAGAAGTTTGCATCTTCAATAAGAAAGCACAAGGACCGAGACGCTGCCAGCTGCAATAGTGTAGGCACAACTTCAGTGTTTAAACATGATTAATCAAATGCTAATTTAGAATGCTGAAAGTTAAATATTAAATATAGTGATTCCGGTTTTGGCCCAACACTTGTTGTATTCAGAGCTCGGGCTTATGATTCTGAATGTTGTTCATTGTCATTTTTCCTTTTATTCTTATTTGAGTTTGGCTATTTGGTTGTATCGAGCATGTTTGGAACAGGTTGGTTACTTGGTTTGCAAACCTTGTGTTGCCTAGATTTTGGTCATCTGCTCGAGCGGCACTTCTTGCACTCGAGCGGGCTTTATGAACTCTCAGTACTTTGCAAGTCTGCAAAACTACTGGAAGAGTATTTTCTACGCTCAAGCGGCGTTTCCTATGCTCAAGCGGCCTTTATTGTGCTCGAGCGTTGGTTTGTTTTCAGCAAAACTACTGAATGTGTATTTTCTACGCTCGAGCGTCACTTCTTGCGCTCGAGCGGTGAGCATCTTGTGTCTTGGAGCTCGAGCGAAACAACTTATTGTGTCTGACGCTCAAGCGTCACTTCTTGCGCTCGAGTGGACTGTGTATATATCAGATTGTGAAAATGACTTTTTACATCACTTTTTCATCTCTCTCTAAAACTCTCCAAAACCCTAGATCTTGAGTTTTTCTCTCTCAAACTCATCTTCTCTCCACCATTTCACCTAAATCCATTGGGTTCTTCACCCTAGTGCCTTTGAGAAAAAGGTAGAGCATGTCGTTGGCTTTATTTTCATCCGAACAAAGATGGGTTTCGGCATCTTTGGAGTTTCAACCTTGCTTTTCTTGTCTTCTCTTCTTGAGATATGGATTTTCTACACTTTCATATGATTTTTAGCTTAGTTATTCGTTGTTGCGTAATAATAGTGGGAGTTAGAAGTATTTTGGACAAATCTAAGGTTTGGGTTTAAAAGCATGTGATATAAATGGTTATGGGATTTGAATATGAAATTATCTTGTGTTAAAATAATTGATTTTGTCCTTTGGGTCGATATTTGAGAAAAAGGACGTTTGCCCTAAAATGGTTCAAATATTTATTTTGTATAAATAAATGGAATTGATGTTGTAAAGATGAAATTGGATGAATATTGAAATAAACGATGGAGTTGGAAATATATATCACCTCGTACCCATGGAAATTGAATAAATTATCCGCCTTGAGATTGAATATTTGTTTAGAAATACCTGTATTGGGCTATCGGTGGAAGATAGCTATGATTCTTGTAGAAATTGCATGAGAATTAGGTGAATTGAAACTAATATCTTGTTGGTTGTTATTAAATATGACTATATTTAAATACATTGTATATGCATGATGTTTGGGAGAGAGAAAATATATTCCATGTTTTGGGAGGAGATAAGGGATGAACTCCATTGAAATTAAGTTGGCCGAAGTGTCCAAGATAAAAGTTCTGAAATCGCACGTATACATGGGTGCCGATTCCCGCAGACGAAATTTCCGTAAAATGACAGCTTTAAGTGTTTGTGTGATAGTTGTGTTGATTTAAGAACCACCGAGTTGTAATCTCAATTGGGTTGTCTGGAAGAATATAGGAATTGACTCATGAATTGAGATAAAATGAATTGACTTGAAATGAAATGAAGGAAAATGAATGGAGATCTAAAATTTGGTACCTTATGATCATGTGGAATATGAATGTTTTGGCATAGGCATTATATATGCACATTTTACTTATATCTTTGTTAAAATTCATATATTGTGTTAGACTATTTCTACTGGGTTTTGACTCACCCTATTTGGGAAAACCATTTTCAGATGTTGGCGATATGCCTCCGCTAAGACACTAGCTTGGAGGGACTTTTGGAAACAAGAGTTTCTTTATTTTGTTGTATTCTTTTTGTATAGCTAAGGACTTTAACTGTATTAAGCTAGGCTCACTTTTGTTGTAACCAAGCAACGACTTGGAAAGATGTAAGCCTATAGGGCATTTGATTGTCTGTTTAGTTTTTAGTTCGTTTATCACTGCAACACATGCTGTAGATTTAGGATGAACAGTTTGTGAATATATATCGCATGTGTTATCTTTTGTATACAGACTCTGATGAATGAAAGTATATCATTTCTATTATTTTTCTGCTTATGGGTTGAATTTATTGTATTATTTTTCGGGGCATTACAACTTAATATCAGAGCATACCGGGTTTGAATACTTTGGATATGTGGATAGTTATTATTACGACAACAGGGTTTGTCTCGCTTAACTAAGACGTTAGTATGCGTTGTATGCTTATGTGATAACATGCTTATATGATTATATGGGTATGAGATTTAGTTCCTAAGATATTGATTGGGTCTACGGGTTTCTAAAAGTCCTATTAGAAGAGCACTTGATCACTACTGTTTCTAATTGGAACTCTAGCAACGCCGCAGGACGGTCATTATCTAGGAAGGAAATTCGTATGTGTTTATGTGATTACGTGCTTATATGGAGTGATTTACTGTTATCCATAGCATTAGGACGCAAGTGAGTTAGCTTCGGCACATTTGTAAATGTGCTAATCTCTTTTGTTACCTTCATTAAGATGTCAGGACGTGGACATGATGGTGATAGGCGTAAAAGGCATGAGACGCCTCTACAGGATGATATTCTGGCACAGGAAGAAGGGGTTGGCCAGGCCAATGTGGCCGAACCAATGAGTCAGCAGGCCATGGGCGCCTTAGCCTGTGAAATGGCCGGAGCATTGCAAAAATCCATGGACTTTCTCAAGGCAAGCTTAGGTTGCTGAGGCAGGGCTATCTTTTCTGAAAAGAGAGTTCTTCCAATCGAATCCGGATGAGTTTTTGAGCGATCCCAAGGAGCCACTAAACGCAAATAAGTGGTTGGAGCAGAAAGTGAAGACGTTCGAGATGCTTGGCATCGAGGACGACCAATTAAGGGTGACCTTGGTATCTTTCCAGCTGAAAGGGGATGCGGGTCAGTGGTGGAAGTATGCGCGTGGGCGCATTCGGGTGACTTGGGAGGCATTCGTCAATGCATTCCAAGACAAGTTTTTGCCTCCCACAGTCAGGGAGAAGTTGAGAGATCAGTTCTCTAAATTGGTGCAGTTGAACACGGCAATGGCTGAGTTTAAAGCCACCTTCACTAGCTTGTCTAGGTTTACACCTGAGCTTGTGGCGACTGAGGATAAGGAGCGCCGTTGTCTGGAGTTTGAGAAGCGGTTAAGGACCGGGCTCATGTTTAGAATGGTCGGATCCATGATTAGAGACCATAGGCGCCTTGTGGAGATGACGGCCCATCTTGAGACCATTATGCAGATAGAGGAGAAGAGAATGAGGGGCTCTAAGAGGAGGTAGGATAATCAGGGGGACAGTAAGAGACAGAGGGGTTCTAACCCCCAGTCATCCCAAGGAGCTCAGTTGAGGTCCACTTTTCCAGTACCAAGTTCGAGTTTTGGGAGAGGTGGTTAGGGAGATTTTACTTGTTTCAAGTGTGGTCAGTTGGGCCACAAGTCTCCAGCTTACCCGCAGAGAGGAGGAGGGCAACAGTTTGCTTCGTGTTCGGCTCGTTCACAGGGCCAGAGTTAGGGGAGAGGGCAGCCACTCACATGTTATCAATGTGGGCAGGTAGGGCATTTGAAGAGATTTTGCCCATAATTGGGTGGCACACCCAGTGTGTCTGGTTCGAAGCAGGCACAGAGCCACCAGCCTACACAGTCAACATAGGCCTCGAGGGCCAATCAAGGAGCCTCTTCGGCTCAATCAGTGTATCAGGCTTATGCTCCGAGGGGTAAGCAAGTTGAGCAGAGACCTACTGGGCGTGTGTATGTTGTTGCGGCGCCAGATCTTGTACATGCTCTTTCTGTAGTGAGAGGTACCTTCTTGTTTTGCAATTCAGTTGTTAATGTATTGATTGATACGGGTGCATCCCATTCTTTTATCTCGTCTGCATTTGCATTGATTTTGGGCTTAGAGTTAGCTCAGTTAGCATCTCCTATCTATGTCAAGTCACCTATTGGTGGTGAGGTCATTTTGAAGCAAGGGTGTCGGGGTTGTGACATCGAGATTGCCGGCCACCGGTCGCCGATTACTTTTTGCATTCGTGTTGCTTGTTATGTCTAGTTTTGATTCAATTGAAGGGGTCTTGTTGCTTCACTAAGATAGACCTGAGATCGGGTTATCACCAGTTGAGAGTAAGGGAGGAGAATATCCAGAAAACAGTATTCCGTACGCGATATGGCCATTATGAGTTCCTAGTAATGCCTTTTAGGCTGACCAATGCACCAGCTGTATTTATGGATTTGATGAACAAGATCTTTCATGAGTTCCACTGTTTTGTGGTCGTCTTTGTGGACATCTTGATTTACTCACCCTCTGAGGAGGAACACGAGGAACACTTGCGAGTAGTGCTTGAATTACTTAGAGTCTACCAATTGTATGCTAAGTTTGGGAAGTGTTAGTTCTGGCCAAGGGAAGTTAGGTTCTTAGGCCATATGGTATCCAGGGAAGGGGTGACTGCAGATTCATCCAAGATAGAGACAGTGCAAGATTGGGCACAGCCTAAGAATGCTTTTGAAATTCGTAATTTCTTAGGGTTGGCCGGGTATTACCGTCAGTTTGTGGAGGATTTCTCTAGGTTAGCCTCACATTTGATTAGGTTGACGAGGAAAGAGATCAAATTTGTGTGGAGTAAGACTTGTGAGAAGTCATTTCAAGAGCTTAAGGTTAGACTTATTACTGCTCCAGTCTTGATTATTCCAGAGAGGGGCTTAGGCTATTCCGTTTATTGTAATGCTTCACGGGAAGGTTTGAATTGTGTCTCGATGCAAGAGGGAAAGATAGTAGCCTATGGCTCACAGCAGTTGAAGACACGTGAGAGGAACTACCCTACTCACGACCTAGAGTTAGCGGCGGTGATCTTTGCCTCGAAGATTTGGAGGCATTATCTGTATGGTGAAAAATTTGAAGTATTTTCTGATCATAAGAGTCTGAAGTATCTATTTACACAGAAATATTTGAAT